CCCGCCATTTCGACGTGCACGGCTGTGAGCACACACACCCGACACACACACACAGGCTTCCAAGGCGCTGCAAAATGCAAGAATCCGCCGCTCGTGCTGGTTCAAGCACGCTCTCAACTTAGAGGGGAACGAGCTCATATGTACAGTGTGTGCTTCATAGATACACAGCAAGAATCAGTGATTGATTGCATCGGATTCAAGGTTGGCCGCCAGCCGTGCCCAGGGTACACCGCCGCACGAGGGTATTTTTCAAAACAAATTGATCCTGCGGTGCCCTTGGATGTCTCCTCAAGAGCCCTCGTGGCTTGTCTGCCCACGCTACACTGGTACTGCTGTAGAATCAGTATTCTACCTACGAATTGGCGTTTCACTAAAACGTCGTCGACGAGACACACGTGGAACATTGAGATGTTTTTCGTGCGCCGTGTGTAGGCTACGATTTTCATGAGTTGAATTTTTTTTTTTTTTGCTTTATTCATCGAACCACCACCACGGCTCAAAGCTTGTACCAATGCATTCTTGTCAGAGAATGTCAGCGCACGATTGTCCCCCCCCCTCCTCAAAGAACTGAAAAGAACCACAACCCCCGCCGGACACTCGGATTGGGAAGGCCGAGTATTCCGTATACCTTCCTGAAAAAACACGAAAAACAAGTGGCCACGGTCCAGTTGCCGTAGAGATCATGAGGATGGTGAAGAAGCTTGGAGGATGGAAGCAGAAACTGTGGAAGGGAGACAAGTTGGAGCTGCTGCTGTTTGGGATTCCAAGGGACATGACGAGGATAGAGTTCAAGAACTGTTGTGACAGGGAGGGACTGCACTGCCTAGCAAGGGGACAAGTAGGCAGAGAACATGAACACTTCCGGGTGAAATTGACCAAGGGAGACAGCCAAGGGTTCTTGGGGGTTGACATCGAGAAGCTGTCGAACTACGTAAGGCAGTTTGGATGGAGGGTTTGCATCGCGAACATGATAGAAACAGAGAAGGTAAGGAGACAAGAGGCGAGGGCGACGGGGGCGAAGAAAGGACCGAGCAGGGCAGTCGAGCAAGCAAGTCAGAAGAAGTCCGAGAAGAAGCGGAAGGCGAACGAAAGAGTGCGCAAAATCTCCAATAGGGAAATAGCACAAGCTGAGAGTCGGGTCGTGGAACGTGTGCGGGTTCGCAAGGAGTGAGCGCAAGCGGTTGGAAATAGTGGACCAAGTAGAACAAAGCG